AGTGGTATGGATGGTGAGGAAATACTGAATAATGTATTGTCAAATCAGGGTATGAGCTATTGCCTTAAAATTTTCAATTAAAAAAAAAACAGTGAAGACCCTTGTCTTCAGGTGCATCATGCTAGGGCAGATCAGACTCTGCATTGTTGGTAAGGTCGAATACACATTAAATACAGGTAACTATTATTGTCTCTAGTACACATCCAGTTTCTCATGCCCTAAATAACCTACATGTGTTGCAGTGCTGTAGATAAACCTCAGCCAAACCAGACTACTTGATATACAACCACAAAGAAGTTGATATAATAATATACAATACTTAAGAACCAACACTATAATATATACAATTTTAGTACTGCAGAAGTATGCCCGTAATTTGAACTTGAAGATTTATATCAATATACTGATTTTTTTTAAGATTGCGTACAGAGGGTTCTTAGGCATTTATAACTTACCTCGTGCAGTTTCAAAGAACTTTTTTTTCCTAAACAATACAGGAGATTAAGTGACTGTGCATCAGGCGTCATCATTGGCAGGAGATATTTGTCTTTTGAAGCAAAAGATGTTTTTAAACAAAGACACCACTTTTTATTTGAAAATGCAATGTACTGTTGCTGAAGTCATGATGAATTGTAGAATGAACATCTAAGACTGGTAATGCACTGCTTTTAATTTTTTAAATCCACAAAGGCACAGTGTGAATTTTGTTTGTATAATATTACCATTTTTTAAATGTAACATTCTCCAAATGTATTTGATTTTTGTTTAGCTGTAAACAGTGAGAAGCATTCAGGCTTTTTATAATCTGCTGTGATTCTTTTCATGTACAAATTCATGTACAAAGGTGGTTCTCAAAAAAATTTTCTCATATGGTCATTGTTGTTGAAGTAAAGCATTATTTATATCAAGATCAGTTCATACATAATGTGCAATTTTGTTCATACTTAAAACACATTTTGAGCTTTGACTTATTTGAAAAGTTGTAAACATTTTGTTATAACTTCTAGGCTTTTTAAACCAATCAATAAAAGTAATGCTGCTCAAGAGATAACGTAAGAAATCATCTTCAGCTGCGCATACAACCCAGACACTTGCAGATGTATGCATGTTATTATTATTATTATTATTATTATTATTATTATTATTATTATTATTATTATTATTATTATTATTATTATTATTATTATTATATTATCATTATTATTATTATTATTATTATTATTATTATTATTATTATTATTATTATTATTATTACTTTATTTAAAGAGGGTAACTCAATTAGCTAAGAACTAATCTACCTTGAGGCCCTCATTCAAAGGAATTTATTTATTTTTGCTGCATCTCTGAAGCCATTGTGTGACATGTAAGCCATTGTATGACATTGTAAGCCATTGAAGCCATGTGACAGGTAAATGACATTGATCTAAATGTCTGAGAAGGAAAACAATTCTGCTACTGTGCAAAGAAGATGCTGTAAACTCCAGATGCTCTTAAGGTACTGACTCAAATCAAGGCAGTTTATGGAAGTCCATTGTCGTAGATTAGTGAGTGAGAAGTGGCCTGTTGAATAGATGGTCAATTCATGGCAGATGACCCATGTCCTGGAAGACTGTTGTCGATGATTTGCTTAATACACAGTGGAAGATATCAGTAGCATTAATTCATTGGCTGTTTTAATATAATCAAGAATCATTTGGAAATCCAAATGGTTTATGCATGATGGACCCCATGTTTATTGATTGCTAATCAAACCACTCAGGTTGAGATCACCAAACACCTGCTAGAGACATCTGAATGTGATTGTCACTGATGATGATGAAGTATGTATTTACTTACGAGAATCCTACTGAGAAGAAATAATAAAGTTTGGATCATACAAAACAATGAGAGACTACAAATTAATTATCATCATCATCAGATTTACATGAGGGTTTTAATACACATTATTTTTTTTGCCTGACTGACAGCTAGTGTCACTGGACATTTTTATGCATCCAAGACATTTCCAGAACACTACCAAATGACCCATCTGCGCACTGGTACCGAGGTATCCATCTACAGAATAGCAATACATGACCAAATAAATCTGTATTCATGAGAGACTTCCTGAAGGAGGACAACTTCCACACTTTACTGCATCCTTAATACAGCCCTGATTTAGTGAAAAACTTGAGTTTTAGCTGAATCTGATTAGCAGACTTCTGCTAAGGGGATGAAAATTTGAAAGCCTTCACGCAGTTTGTAGAGTGGTTTTTTGTTGTATGAATAGCATATCAGAAATGAATGCAAATTGACATTTAATAATCAGATCATCGGGCTGAGAGAATGTGTACAGAAGGAACTGCTCAATATGTACCATCAACTCCAATTATGTCCTTTAAGGTGTTTACTAAATATCCATGAGGATTTTCCCCAAATACATCTAATATGGCCATATTGCCCAACATAGTTTTTGTTTATAGTCTCTCTTACCACTGAAGTTAGCAGAGTTCCAATTTATAGGAGTGTTACCTTGCCACTCCATTTTGCCAGGTTCTTATTTGTAGGAGTATTACTTTGCCACTCCGTTTTGTTAGGTTCTTATTTGTAGGAGTGTTACTTTGCCACTCCGTTTTGTTAGGTTCTTATTTGTAGGAGTGTTACTTTGCCACTCTGTTTTGTTAGGTTCTTATTTGTAGGAGTGTTACTTTGCCACTCCATTTTGTTAGGTTCTTATTTGTAGGAGTATTACTTTGCCACTCCGTTTTGTTAGGTTCTTATTTGTAGGAGTATTACTTTGCCACTCCGTTTTGTTAGGTTCTTATTTGTAGGAGTATTACTTTGCCACTCCGTTTTGTTAGGTTCTTATTTGTAGGAGTATTACTTTGCCACTCCGTTTTGCCAGGTTCTTATTTGTAGGAGTGTTACTTTGCCACTCCGTTTTGTTAGGTTCTTATTTGTAGGAGTGTTACTTTGCCACCCCATTTTGCCAGGTTCTTATTTGTAGGAGTATTACTTTGCCACTCCGTTTTGTTAGGTTCTTATTTGTAGGAGTGTTACTTTGCCAATCCATTTTGCCAGGTTCTTATTTGTAGGAGTGTTACTTTGCCACTCCATTTTGCCAGGTTCTTATTTGTAGGAGTGTTACTTTGCCACTCCGTTTTGTTAGGTTCTTATTTGTAGGAGTATTACTTTGCCACTCCGTTTTGTTAGGTTCTTATTTGTAGGAGTGTTACTTTGCCAATCCATTTTGCCAGGTTCTTATTTGTAGGAGTGTTACTTTGCCACTCCATTTTGCCAGGTTCTTATTTGTAGGAGTGTTACTTTGCCACTCCATTTTGCCAGGTTCTTATTTGTAGGAGTGTTACTTTGCCAATCCATTTTGCCAGGTTCTTATTTGTAGGAGTATTACTTTGCTCCATTTTGCCAGGCTCTTATTTACACAAGTATTACTTTGCCACTCCATTTTGCCAGATTCTAATTTTTAGGAGTATTACTGCTTACAAGGTTCTTTCTTAAAAAAATAAAACTGGGTCATGCAACTGTGTTTAACTTTAGGTAAATGGAGAAGAATTCACAGTTTTTATATGGACTTGAATAAATTCATGAATCCATGGCAGCTGTTCACAACGCTGAATTTTATATTTTTAATAGACTTAAATATGTTCACAGAAATCCATGGTAAATGGCAATAAAAACTGATTCCATAGTTGTTTTTAAATGAATATGTAATAATTTCACTGAATCCATGATTTGCTATAATTGTCGTTTTTGTCTGTTATCCCTTTGAACTATTCAAATAGGGATCTCACTGCTGCCGCCAAATGTGTCTGGGTTTTTCAACAATGCAGAAAATTACAGTTTAGCTTAAAACCTTTAAGGTGGACTTCTTTAATTCTAGAACACAAAAGACTTGATTTTCACAAAAGGCACTTGTTTTAACTGTGAATAAAATCAACAAGATAATATTTACTTTATTGAAATGAATTCCAAAATAAGCATTCACCTTGCACAGCACAGGCCTGGTTACAGTAAACTGACACAGGGTCACACATGAACAACATTAGTGCTAGAAATATGTGGGAGTAATATGCTCTTAAAAGAGTATCTTGACATCCTGCAACATCCTTGCTTACCCCTTTGACCTTGGGGTCAAGGACACAGTCTTTGAAAAGTGGCATTATGGTTTCAGTTCATGTTTTTTCCTTTGATTATTTTTCCTAAACCCTTTGATAGATTTTTTAATATCCTTTGGATTAATTATTATAACAATTGACTCTGCAAAATGCAGACTAAGTCTATGACCTTGGGGTCAATGTCCAACATTCTGTAGCAGTGAATTGACAGGGGGCAGGTCCTGTTTCATTTTGTTTAAATGAAAAATGTAGGATGGGTTTTCTATCGCGTGTGAACATTATAATGTGCACCTATTTTTTTTGTCACATCAATAGTTGTAACTGGTTACATGAAGTTTGGAAAGGTCAGAGGTTATATTTTATCTCAGTATTAATATAATTCTTTTATATTTGAGATCTATTATAATGAGAATTTGTATGGTGTTCATGAGATTTACATTTTGTCTATTGTCTGAAATTCAGGCAGCTGTGGAAGCGCAGTTGTCATGCATCAGATTCATAATCCAGAGGTTGTGGGTTTGAGACCTGCTAAGGCCACCTATGACTGACTGCTATGGTGTGACCTTGAGAAGAACTCTTAGTTTCCATTTCTTCTGCATTCTGTTAAAAGCAAAATATGTTTTTAAATGTGAGTGTGTGTGTGTGTGTGTGTGATTTAGATTTTTAATGTAGCTTTAAAAATTTTGTAGTCATGTCATATAGATTTCTGCAGTGTGGCAGTTTATAGTGATGTCTAACACTGGGGCATCATGCCGAAGACATATATCATGATGTCCCATTCATTTGCATTATCCTGACACCAGGCTGACCAGTCCTTACACTAACCTCTTAATGCTGAGCGTCAAGCAAGGCAGCTGTTAGTACCATTTTTATAAGTCTTTGGTATGACTTGGCCTGGGTTCGAATACAGAGCCTCCCGTATCTGAGGTGGATACTCTAACCACTAGGCCACCAGACCATTTTTAAAAAAAATAAATATGTGAAATGCACAGAGAAGGAGTTGTAATCTGCATTAGCCTGGTGATGATATTGTAAATGTAAGCTGCTGCATTTTTTTAATATTGATCCTGTGTTGCTAAAAGTTTAATATTGTCAAAAACCACAGACAAGGCAAATTGCAAATATCCATCTGACATGTCAAAATCAGTGTAATTTTCACCATCCTGTGGTAATTCTTTTCAGTTTTCTATTGAAATTTTAGTCTGACGTTAACAATTATTAAATCTTAAAGTTTGACTCCATTATGATTTAGGCTGAACAAGATTTGATAATAAAAGGAAACAAAAATGTTAATTGAGCTGTCCTGAAGAAATCTCCCAAGTTGTGAGTCATTGTAGAAGGAAACAAAGGATGTAATTCTTCTGAAATCAATCTTTTTCTTCAGGCACCATTTCACAATTACATGAAACAAAGGAACTTGTAATCAATCCTTATCACCTTGTACAACAAAAGATTTACTGATAAAGAAATGTATACACAATACCCAATTAAATAATTTAATAAACAATAAATAATAACTGTATATTGGAAAAGGTATTGATCTGTATTTTATACCACATGACACCTAATTCCAGTATCTTAAGTTCATTAACAAATTGGTTTTTGCAAATACTGGTGGTAAGCTAGTGACAGAAAATGTTTGTGAACAACAGCTGTTTATTGCTTCATTACTTGACAATGTAATTTTTGGTAAATATTTTAATTGAGAATGCAGTTTTGTGAAGCACATGTTAATTGGCATAACAACCCAATTCCAATGCTTTGGTTCAATTTTCAAGTTCCTTGTATTTCCTGAAACCTTGAATTCTTGGCATGAATCATTATGAAGCCAAGATGATTCAACAAGACGCACTCGCTTGCCCCTTTGACGTTTTTTGAGCAAGGTTGAAGTAAATAATCTTAGATTCAAGGTCATAGAATATTTGCATAATGGTTTTGGCGGCAATTTTTCATTGCTTATTCCCTTATACCATCTCAATGCTTTTCTTCAGGAATTCTTTCTTCTGACAATTGCTTTAATCTGGCAAAAGTATTGGAAATTTTTTTGTTTTATTTTCTTTTGTCTCGTCAGTCTTTGGATCCAGTTACATACGCCTTCACTGTAATTTCGGCCCAAAATTAAACTAGTTTGATACAAAATTGATTCAACCCTTTCAAATACTCTTTGCAGGAGGTTGAACTCTGGCCGAGTCATACCAAAAACTTACAAAAATGGTACTTGCAGCTACCTTTCTTAGTGCTTCGCATTAAAAGGTTTGTGTAAGGACTGGTCTACCTAGGTGTTAGGATAATGTGACTGGGTGGGACATCATGCTTCATGTCTGTGGCATGATGCCCCAGTGTTAGACATCACTATAAACTCCCATTGCCTGCATGTCTGTGGCATGATGCCCCAGTGCTAGATATCACTATAAACTGCCACATACTGCCACTACAGACATCCTAGCATATGACTTAAAATTGTTAAAGCTACATTAAAAATCACACACACGAACACACTTATTTAATCCTCGGTCTGTCAAGCTTATGGTCATTGTGTTGACCTAAAAGTAGCCTGGTCATCACCAAGTCATGAATTGTCACACAGGCTTTATCTTATCATGATGAAAATATGAATAAAGGAGAAATGTGACAAAGTTTCATGCAGGAAACATGAGTATTCCGGGCATTTCTTTCTAGGTAAACAATAAGGACATTGTTAGATTTAAGTCAATAAAGTTTATAATATTTTGAAGGTTTGGATTTAAATGAAACATTTTTCTTTTCAGTCCATTTCTTTTTCTATCCAATTCTATTTGTCAGACATTTCAACTCCTTCGATCTGTTATTTCTTGTTACTGTTTCACATATTTGGCACTCACAAATCATATTCTCTTACCCCATCTCAATCTGTTCCCTTGAAAAGAAGTCTTCCTTTCTAACCATTTTCTTTCCCAGCATCTCCGTATTTAATTTTCTGTTAGAGCATGCCTGTTGTGTTCTATCACAAATCGTAAAAAAAGATTGGTAAAGATAGACATGAACCTCGGTGTCTCAGTGTGGAAAATGGGTATGTTCAAGAAAACAGTAGAACCTGTCTTGAAAGACTGCCTCTTGTGCCAAAAATTATGGTTTATGAAGACAGGTGGTCTCTTATAAAAGATCATAATGCTATATAGTCAGTAAATTTGTATGTTGAGAATATGGTCTCTCAAGACAGGTGGTCTCAGCAGCATTGGTTTCTCAAGACAGGTTTTACTGTATCATTCTCCTGTATGATCAGTAAAGGAAGCTGATTTTAACAAAAGTTACTATAACTTGATACTCCTCCATAGCAGTTGGTGTATATATGAAGCCTTGTCCTTCTGTCAGTCCATCCTACCTTCCTTCAATTCTAACAATCTTGTTAGTGCAGCTAGTCTCAGTTTTTTGATGGATTGCCATGAAACTTGTAATAATAAGGTCATCACTTAAAGATGTACATATCGACAAATCATTTTGGTTTTGCTTTTTTGTTGCCCTTTTAATAAATTCTGTAAATTCTTGTGAACACAACTGGTTTCACCATTTTCATTGGATTGTCATGAAACTTGGTAAATGTTGTTGGCATCAATTAAAGAGGTGCACATCAATATATCACTATTCTATACAAATTTTGCTGGAGTTATTGTCCTTTTCATATTGCAGATGAATTCAGCGTATCTGTCAAGCATGCTGTCATATTAACTCAAATAGTCTATTAATTTTTAATGATAGCTATGAAACTTGGTAATTTTATGGTCATCATTTTTTTACATGCAAGTATTAATAAATAATTTTGCATGTACCATTTTTGTAAGAGTTATTGCCCATACTTGCACCTGATGCACTGTATCTTGTGAACATGACTAATCTCAGTTTTCAACGAATTGCTGTCTTTTTACATGCAAGTATTAATAAATAATTTTGCATGTACCATTTTTGTAAGAGTTATTGCCCATACTTGCACCTGATGCACTGTATCTTGTGAACATGACTAATCTCAGTTTTCAACGAATTGCTGTGAAAAATGGTAAATATTATGGACATCCCTTGAAGATGCAAATGCACATAAATCAGTTTGCTCATTTTAATTTTTGAGTTATTGCTGTTGTTTTACTTCCAACTGAATGTGTGCGCAATTATTCTCATTTTTTTATGGATTTCAGTGTACATACATTGACCATCAGATGAAAGTGTTCTTGTGGACAAATCACTTAGAGTTATTGTCCTTTTTGATATTCAGAATGGATCACCAAGAAACTATTAATCATTTCAAGATGTGCTTATCAATAAATGTTGGTGTTCCTGAAAGATTTTATAGTTATTGCCCTTGGATCCTTGTGCAAGGTATGACAAAATCTTATATCTTGTCAAAAGCAATGCCAGCAGTTTTTGATGTATCACTGTGAAATTTGGCACCAAATAATTTGCATATTGGACAAAACACTATCCTACTGTTATTTATTTAGGATTATTTCACATTTGCACTTGGAGATGATGTACCTTCTCTCAAGTTGACCTTCCGGACCTGTTTGCAATTTTCTTTTGTGACAAAGTACAACCCATCAGAGATAAACTTGACAGCACAATTTCAGTTGACTCATCTTCACCATACAGTTGCGATACAGAATTTCAGCAGCAACAAAAGCAACCTTTCTTTATGGATTTAGTGCATACAGTTGTGATGATGAGTGCACCAAAGTCGTGAACTGAATCCGATTCCAATGTCACTGCTGCTAGAGTGCTTGGATCCAATATTGCCTTCACTAACTGATGTTATCAATATGTCTCTCTCATCTGGGGAATTCCCATCATTTTACAAAACTGCCATTGTAAAGCCTCTGCTGACGAAACCAACACTCAACCATAATGATCTAAAGAACTACCACTCAGTTTCTAATCTCCCATTCATGTCAAAAATCTTAGAAAAAGTTGTTCTATCCCAACTTGTATCTTATCTAAATTCAAATAGTCTTTTTAGCAGTGTACAGTCTGCATATCACCCTTTACCTCTGAAACCGCTCTTCTGAAAGTAGTCAACGACCTTCTCTCTGCTTTGAATGGCGGAAAGATTACAGTCCTCACTCTCCTTGACTTGTCTGAAACATTTTACCCTATAAACCATGATATATTACTTCACCATCTCCAGCATGTGTTTGGCATTCATGATATGGCCTTATGGTTCAAGTCCTACTTAGTCAACAGGACACAAATTGTGTCTGCCTATGGAAAACACTCCAACCCAGTTGATCTATGCTGTGGTGTTCCACAGGGGTCTGTTCTTGGATCTGTTCTCTTCATTCTGTACACTCAGCCACTCTCCAGTGTTATAGATCATCATCCAGCGTCTCACCAATTTTATGCTGATGACACCCAAATATACAAATCTAGGCATCCAGCTGAAGTTAAAGTTAAAGTTACCATCCAAGGCATAGAGAGGTGCACTTCTGATGTGAAATTATGGATGACATGTAACAAGCTGCAGATGAATGATGATAAAACTGAAGCCATCCTGATCACAACATAAAGACTTTCTCATTCACTTCCTTTACCTCAGACAATATCAGCAAAACCAACATTAAATTCAAGCAGTCAGTACAAAACCTCTCTGTCACTCTTGACAGTACACTCTCATTGCATCAACCTGTCATGAACACATGCCTGGCTTGCAAGTATCTGTCATTTGATGCCACTAAAACACTTGTGTGTTCCTTAGTACTTTCAAGACTTGACTAATGTAACTCAGTTCAGTCTGGGTCATCTCAATATCTACTTCAAAAAGTTTAAAATACTGCTTCTTGGTTCATCCTTAGAGGACCATGATCAGAGCATGCCTCTCCGCTGCTCTGTACCTTACACTGGCTATCAATATGATCCAGAATTAAGCACAGAATTTGTTCTCTGTGCTACGTTTCACTGACAGGCTCCAGACCAATATACCTATCTGACATCACCCAT